ATAAATATAAACAAGCACCTGGCCACGTGGAAGGAGATTATAAGGGTTGTAAATATTGGTGATTTTTCCCCTAGGAGTTTATCATTAAAAAGAGGGAAACGCTTAATGGAATTGAGTGGGGAGACTCAGGCTCTAGAAGAAGAAGCAACTGGAAAGGATGTCTTTGGGCAGGAAATGTGCATTGGGTGTCCACTTATGCATCACCACACAGGAGGAAATGCATCACCAGATGAGGAAAAGGACCAGAAAGGGCACAGGGTTTACATAAAAGTTGCACATGCTAACTTTGCGGAGACCCACCTGGTGTGACCTTGCAACCCACCTGGTGTAGCCTCGTGACCCACTGATTGAAGACCTATGGGTTAGTGGACCTTGAGATGCTACAGCAGGCATAGGCAAACTCGGCCCTCCAGATGTTTTTGGCCTACAACTCCCATGATCCCTAGCTAACAGGACCAGTGGTCAGGGATGATGGGAATTGTAGTCCCAAAAACATCTGGAGGGCCGAGTTTGCCTCTGCCTCTGCTAGAGGAAAGGAAAGGAGATCCCATAAGCCTGTAGCTTCTTGCATGTGGAATTTCAGTGTTGTCTCCAACTAAGTCCTCCTCAGAGTAGACCCATTGACCTAAGTTAGTCATGCCTGTCAATATCAATGGGTCTATTCTGAGTAGGACTAGGTTTGGCTACAACCCCAAGTCTTGCCTGCCCTAGACTGTGTTATTCACCTCTGGCCCTATTGGATTGAGAGCTAGACTCCCCACCATTTATTTTTATTAACACTATTTATATGCCACCCTCTCATAAAACATCAGGGCAGCGGACAACACTATAAAAACATTTTTAAAAACCTATTTTATATATATATATATATATATATATATATATATATATGGACAATCATTAAAATGGCTGGATACTCAAGAAAATTTTAAACAACTTCAGAGACTTGCTGGCATAACAAAGTCTTCAAGAGATCCCTGAAAGTTAAAGTATGGATCTGGCAACACCAACTGCTTGGGGCTAATCAGGTTTCTGCAGCGAATGGAGCCCATCCAGGTGCTCTCATTGATCAACCTGGGATATAAGGAATCAGGTAGTCCTCAAGGTATCCTCGTCTCAAGTTGTTCAGGGCTTTCTTTATGTGTCAACACAATTTGATCTCTTGGGGATGTGTCCTTAAACTCTTCTCCACCTGCTACAATTTCCCCCATCGGAAGCTGCGAACATGTGCTTAGAACACCAGATGATGGGAAGCAGCTTGGTTTTTTAAGGGAATAACAAGTGGGTAGAGATGTTACAGGGACGCGGGTGGCGCTGTGGGTAAAAGCCTCAGCGCCTAGGGCTTGCCGATCGAAAGGTTGGCGGTTTGAATCCCCGCGGCGGGGTGCGCTCCCGTTGCTCGGTCCCAGCGCCTGCCAACCTAGCAGTTCGAAAGCACCCCCGGGTGCAAGTAGATAAATAGGGACCGCTTACCAGTGGGAAGGTAAACGGCGTTTCCGTGTGTGGCTCTGGCTCGCCAGATGCAGCTCCCTCGGCCAGTAAAGCGAGATGAGCGCCGCAACCCCAGAGTCAGCCACGACTGGACCTAATGGTCAGGGGTCCCTTTACCTTTTAGAGGTGTTACACCCTCCCCTCCCTGTGAATTCCACCTTCCTTGCTAGCTGCACTGTCAAGACCGGTCTTTGGAGCAGTTATCCAGGGGTCTACTCAACAGAATGAGTGGGCTGGCTTTTTTTGGATGGAGTGAAGGAATATACATTACCATGTAAAGAGGAAGTCTCTGTTAGATCATTAAATTCAGAATTATGACACATTGCCATCCCAAAAGCCCCCCTGGAAGACTGTTACACCCAAAGTCTAAAAGTCACCTAACAGGACCACCATCCCTCACTTAAGTTTCCCGGACATGCACTAGCAGAGGAACATGATAAAAGACACAACGCTGAATAAATCTTTACAGCGAAGTTAAATGCAATAGAAGGTGATCATAAGACACGGGGCTTGCCCATGTAGTACATAGAATCATAGAATCATAGAATCGTAGAGTTGGAAGAAACCACAAGGGCCATCGAGTCCAACCCCCTGCCAAGATTCTGATTTCTATTTTTTGAATTAAGAGGAGAGCTAAAGTTGCGTCTTTTGCTCCTGCCATGTACACTCACAGACACACACCCCATGCGCCACTGCCTCCTCTTGTCGGCTTCTTCTAGCCAGTTCTCCCACCACAGGGACCTGAGCAAGCAAACACACCCAGCCAGCATCACACAATACTCGTGCATGCCAAAGAATCACTGTTGCAAGATGACGCAATGATGAACTAAGTGGTGCAATGGAGGGATGCGTGAGTGCATAGGAGATCCTGCACAGGCAGCAATGCCCAACAGCTTACTAGCAGCATTTCTAAAAATAAACAGTATGATTTATTATTCCCCCTCCCTCAATGCCACATTCCCTGGAGGTGGCTGCACATGGCAGTCTTATATTATTCTGCTGCACTCTGCACAAATGTGGTCTCCCCCCCCCACTGCATCAGACCCGAGGATGGGATAGAAAGGATTCCCAAAGGTGTTGTTTACATTACAGAGGGCTATTTATTTCTTGCATTGATTTATTTCTTGCATTTACAGTATAGACATCTGGGTGGCTCACTAATTTTTTTAAAAATACAATAAATTTAAAACAATGAAACCAGTTACAGTGGTACCTCAGGTTAAGTACTTAATTCGTTCTGGAGGTCCGTTCTTAACCTGAAACTGTTCTTAACCTGAAGCACCACTTTAGCTAATGGGGCCTCCTGCTGCTGCCGTGCCGCCGGAGCACAATTTCTGTTCTCATCCTGAAGCAAAGTTCTTAACCCGAGGAACTATTTCTGGGTTAGCGGAGTCTGTAACCTGAAGCGTATGTAACCTGAAGCGTATGTAACCTGAGGTACCACTGTATAAGCAAATATAAAACAAGAAGTCCCCCTAAAAGCTAGCAGAGACATAGCAGCATAAAGATCCCTTTCAAGCCAGCAAAGGGGAAAAGGAAGCTTTGTGCAAGATTTTAAAATCTCCAGGAGTGGCACCATTATGCCACAGGGCACTTTAGGAACATAGCAAGCAGACCTGCACTGACTCAGACTATTGCTCCATCCTTCTCAGTATTGTCTACACTGGCTGACCGTGAGTCCCCAGAATTTCAGACCAAGATACATTCCCAGCCATAGGTGTCTGCAGGATCAGACCAAAGTCCCACCAAGTCCAGTCTCCTGTCCTCAAAGTGGCCAATCAGATGGCTGCAGGAAGACCACAGGCAGGGCATGAAGGCAACAACCCTCCCTCCCTATTACTCATAATAATATCTTGGCTGCTGCATCTAGTCCAGCATTCACTTCTCACAGTGGCCAACCAGATGCTCATGGGTACAACCAGTGGCGTAGCGTGGGTTGTCAGCACCCGGGGCAAGGCAAGTAATTTGCGCCCCCTAACCCAGGTAGGGGCAGAGAGCTGCGAGTGCGAGCGCCCCCCCAGATGTTGCGGCCGGCCCCCCTGCACCCCCCACGCTACGCCACTGGGTACAACAGCAATAAATAACAGTGGGTTGCACGCCAACCAAGTTCTAGTCAAAGTATATCCACTGAAATCAATAAACCTAAGTTAAACATGTCCACCACTTTCAATCTGAGTAGAATTAACCTTTGATATAGCCCAGTATTATTATTTACTGGCGTTTGAAACAGTACAAGGCTTTAAAAAGCAGAATTCATCAAGCAGCAGGATACCAGTAACAGAGGGCCAGCTCTTCAGGTGTTAGGAGAGCTCCTAGGGAAGGCAGATGTTGTTCTAATAAGGCCAAATTTTTAACCGAGCCTTTATATCTCCAAAACCGGCCTGGTGACTCTCCCCAGGAGAGCCCACCTCTCTGATGAGAGTGCAAATAATTTAAACAGCCAGGCACTGTGGCACCATTGAATGGCCTTGGATTGCACAAACTGCAAGGAAATCTCGAGAAAAGAGTGATTTGTGAGCCGATTTAGCCTTCTTTCTCTCAAAAAAGGTCTGAGCCGCTGCTCCCAGTTCAGAATCTGGGGGAAGGGAATTTCATCTCCTCTCAGAGCGGTGTATCCAATGAACAATAAATTTTGAGGTGCTGAGAGACTCACCTGGTTAAGTGACCTAATGATTAGAATACTAGCTATCTAGTATAGAAGTCCTAGTCATCCTATCACATTGATTTCCTCAAGTTGGAGAAGGGAATGTGCATCATCTGGAGATGGAACATTCTCTGTTGTGGTTGGAATTTACATCCTTCATTAAATCCAGGGTAGTAAACGTGGTACCTCTGGGTGCCATCTTGTGGAAGATTAACGACACAGCAAGAGTAGCACGTAAAGGATTTGTTTGCACAATTGGATGGTTATGCATATCCCACCCTTCAAGGTAAAAACGGCAACAAAAGGTCACGTAGAGAAGACTAAAATCAACAACTAAAAATACAACACAACAAACAAGCAGAACAGAAATGGTGGGTAAAGCAACCCCTGGCTTGATGCAGGAAATCCCCAACAGATGAATTCTTAGGCTGTGCGTGAAGAACTCCAGTGATATGGGAGCCCACCACCCTGTGCTAGGGAACTGGTTCTGGGAAGGGCTATAGCTCAGTGGCTGAGCATCTGCCTTGTATGCAGGAAGTCCCAGGCAGGGCTGGGAATGCCCTCTGCCTGAAAAACCGTAAGACTCAGTGCAGACAATACTGGACCAATGGGCCAGCTCAGTACAAGACATCTTCATGGGTTAAGGGGAAGGCCTGTAGCACTGTGGTAGAGCATATGCTTGGCATGCAGAATGTTCCAGGTTCAATCCCTAGCAGGGCTGGGAATGTCCCCCTTCTGAAAAACTCTGGAAAGCCGTTGGCAGTCCATGTAGACAAAACAATGCTAGATGGAGCAATTGTCTGACTTTGTAAGGCAACCTCCTATGTGATTCAGATTTTTTCTAGTTATAAGACACATAACACACCTGGATATGCGGCAGCACATTTGGGGAGGGGATGGTGCTTCTCCGGTGCTTTTGGAAAACGCTCGCATCTCGATCCTTCTTAAAAGCCCTAATGAGCGGCCACATCTCCAACTAGCCGAACCAGGAGCGAGGCGTGGAACCTAGAGCAGCAGAAAATCTATGTACAAGTGAGAACAAGAGAGAGCTATTTTTAGCCAGCCGGCGAGTAGGGGGCGTGCGTCTCTGTGTGTACACGCATCACCCATTTCTCCGCACACAACACAATTTTATTCAGACACCTCTCTTGGCAGGCGAAAGTACAGCTGGGGGATGCTTGGGGTTTGGAGGAGCGTTTGCTAGCAGCAGGCAGCTAGAGAGCTGAGCCGGAGGCTGGGTCTCCAAAGCAATTAAAATAAACTGCAGGAGCCAAATAACACCAGCTCACAAGAGCAAATGTAATGCAACAAACCAGACCAAGAGTGGGCAAACGCTCTCTCTCTCTCTCTCTCTCTCTCTCTCTCTCACACACACACACACACACTCCAGTGCTTACCAGTTTCTATTTCTGACATCATACTGAAAAGCAATAACGGCATTCCTCCTTGGTTTAAGAACATTGCCCCACTCCCACCCCCCAAAAAAACTTGGGAAAGAAAAGGGCAGGAGATGTATGCACCTCAAGGGTCATTTGAATTTTCCAAGGATAGTCCCATTTCTCAGGACTGGTGCTGCCTCTTCAAGGACTTTAAATGAAGGTCAGGCAAATTCAAATAGCAGAAGGCTATCATTGGCTACTAGCCAATTGGCTAGGTTTTCTCCCTCCACTGTCGGAGGCAATATGCCTCTGAATACTAGGTCACAATACTAGGTCACTGGCAGTCACAGACGGGGAGAGCTGCTTTTGTGCTCAGGTCTCGTTTATGGACTTATCATTGGGACATCTGATCAGCCGCTGGGAGAGCCGGTTGTTGGACACAATGGGCCTTTGGCCTCTTTTTGTGTTCTCACAAACTGTTTGCACTTGCCTCTACCCAGCCCTCACATTTCTGGGGGTTAGATATTAGCAGTGTTGGGTAAGTGGAAAGGAAATATCTCTTGCATGCTTTCTGAGCATCTGTTGGGATCTGCTGAGGCTAAAAGTAGGACCCATCCTCACTTATACTAGCCTGCCCTGTGTGCAGTGCAGCACAACTGCTGGCTGGCACATCTCCCTAGGCAGTGAACCTGTTGGCCTACAATGAGGTTTTAGGCTTGTTTCAGCAACTAAGCTCTTCTTGCATTCTTATGTGACTCTGTCTCAGCCAAATCACCGATCCTATTTTCCCTCTTGGGGAGATATAGGGCACTATCTTTCCAAAAATAATGAATTGAGAGTAGCACTCAGCTTTCAACCTTCTCCTGCGGGTCTCTGAGAGATCCATTTTAATGGGGAGGGACCAAGAGGTCTCTCTTGCATAGGCTTCTAAATGCACACACGGAAATGATAATGCACGACTTGGGAGCAGCATCAGCTCATTGGCACAGTCTGGGCTTTGCATACAGAATCTTCCAGTTTCAATCCCTGGCATCCTCCGTTAGAACAGGGTGGGGAGGGAGCCTGTTCCATCCCATGGGCCACTGGCCCTTCTTAACAACCTGCCAAGGGCCACATGCCAGCAGTCGGCGAAGCGAGGGGCAGAAGTGGGTGGGACAATTGACTGCAATTTAAAAACACCACCCACCATTATTTATTTATATCCTGCCCTTCCTCCCCAAAGGAGCCCAGGGTGGCAAACGCAGCAATGACTAGAACAATTAAAAAATATCTAAATATCTAAAAAAGATGCAGGCTGGGAAAGATCTCTGCTTAAAAGGCTGGTTGGAAGAGAAAGAGATTCAGCTGAGAAGGCCATAGAGAGGGTTTCTGTCTAATATTCAATGCTGATTAAGACCTTTCCAATCCCTGGGCACTGAAACTATTATAAGCCCCCACCCCACTGGAGCCAACTCCAGGGGGTCACAGGTGCTTTGGCACCCACAATAATATATTTGTGAGCGCTGCGGGCCCCCAAAGCCAATGGGCAAAGTTGAAGCCCTTCGTTGTGGGCACCCACAATCTTCAGCGTGGGATGGCACCTATGAAAGCCCCCCAATATATAATTCAAAATAAAAGCAGTACTAAACCAAAACTTACATGTGTGCTGAAATGTGCATGCATGTGTGTCATGTGCAACACATGACAGGATCCAATTTCCTTGCATTACTTCAATTTATATTAGTAAGGGGGACACACACACAGTTTCAGTGGGGATAAGGAATAAAACAAAAAAAAATGGGGAGAGAGAGTTCGGAGTGAAGTGTAATAAGTCTAACCAAGTTCTAATTTTCCCCATGATAACTACTTTGGTGCTTTTTAAAAAAAATATCAAATTCTTTCAAAAATTTCTCATTTTTTTCATTTTGGTGTCCCAAGTGCATGCACAGCCTGCCTGCTGGGAAGAGAGATGGGAAAAAAACAGAAGAAAAGTCTGGCTGCTGGATCAGGCCAAAAGCCCATCTAATCTAGTCCAGGATCCTGCTCTCAGCAGCCAACTAGATTTCCATAGGAAAACCCACAAGGAGGACCTGAGTTCAACATCAATTGTTCCCTCACCTGTGATTCCCAGCACCTGGCATTCAGAGGCATACTGCAACCAACAATGGAGGGAGAGAAACATAGCCATCACAACTAGGTGGTGAGAAGGGTAATACAATGGAGGATGTTAGCAAAAGGCAAGACTGACTGGTCAGAACACAGCAAAGCTCTGTTGCAGGAACTACCAGCTGTGAACTCAAGTGCCTGGTTATGATTGCATATATAGTCCAAAGATGGTAAATAAAGTACATGGCTTTGGAAACCCCAACTTTTGCAGAAGCAGGGGGAAAATATTGGGGAGGACGTGAGAAGAGCAGGGGTGGGGGGCAGCCCAATGAGGACTGAGCACGCTCAGGAACAACAGGATGCTGAGCATCTGTTGGCAATTTGGAGGGGGGGGGAGGAGGAAACAGAAAATCAGGAAGGGGCTCAGAATGGAAGCTCCTGAAAGGAGGTGGAACTGAGCAGAAGACCAAAACAGGACCAAGCCACACTGCAGCATTTTGTTGCAGTTAGGGATGGGCAAATCCTTACATTTCAGTTTCTCATTTTTCTGCTCTCAAGTTCACTTCTCCACATTTCCACGTCAGTTTGCAATTAAACGATGGCAAAAGCCCTCATGAAAATTCGTCAGCATTTTCATGCAAAGGTCCCCATTGTATGCCATTTCCTTTAATATATATGCAATTTTGCAACACAATCACCCTTAATACAGTGTAGTCATTGTGTTGTATCTTATTTTCACCAATGCATGCATTTTTCTACACACTTTACCCCGCAGTAAGCATTTTCACACATATTACGTGGTTGGAGAACAGCACTGCAGAGGACTTCCGGGTTGGCGCCATCGCCGAATGGCGGACTCCCTCCGAGCTCCGGAGGGAGCCTGCTCGGCAGGGGCTGGGTCCTACCGCGCCGGCGACGCGGGGACCCTTAAAAACCACGGGCACGGAGCCCGTGGACATGGGTGACTCGGCTGGCACCGTTAGCACCCTCCCGACTCGTGAAGGAGCCTTTTTAAAGGCTACGGATCGGGTGCCGGGGAGTGGCGTGGTGCTTTGAGTCCTCTGCTTTCCCTGCCGAGCGAAGCCGCATGCCATCCGGCGGAGAGCGCTGACTTCTTCCATTGAAAATTCGGACTTTTAACAACAACCCGTGAGTAATTGGGAAACCGGGTTTAAAAGGGGAAAAAAGGAATCTTTTTTTGGATTTGGCACGAGCGGGGGGGGGATCCAAAAAGGAAGTCAGTCCCCCTCCCTACTGTAAACATTTTAAAACAAGGACTGGGTAACCAAGGTCTAAAAAGAAGCGTATTTCTGACAAAAATTAAGAATTCCACGATGGAAAACTACAAGAACTGTGCTGGAGGAGAAGAGTGGAGGGAGAAGGAAAACGCAACCCCCCCCTGGGAACCGGGGCGATTTGTGAGACAGCCTGGTGAAAAGAGACGGAGACTTTGACAGCTGTCAAAGTAGTTGTCAAAGTCGGAAAATTTAAAGAGGACTCTGCTATGAGGACTTTGCTAGTTAATTTCGTTACAATTTGCTACGATTTGGATACAAAATGTTGAAAATATGGAACAACAATCGGTCTTTTGGATCAGAGGAAACAAAGTTACTACAATCCCCCTAGAGGGGTTTCGGGACATTACAAAGATGGTCGTAAGTGGAAAAATACTCCTGGAATTGTACAGGACTTGTTATCTCCTGGGAAAGCTGCAAAACTGAATTAGTATTTTGTCTACAGGGGTGCTTACATTAAAGGAGACAATAGAATTTTCTATTGAAGAAAGGAAGGGACTGAACGCAAGTTTTTGTTCCTGAATAACAACAACCCCTGTAGAGCTACTAAATTTCTGAATTAGAACGTTTTAGCAGCGGAACAAGACAAGAAATTGGACTACAACATGGAAAGAACAATGGGGGGAGCCTTAAAGACCAAGGAAACTAAAGGCCCTTAGAGGCCGTTTTTGGATTGGAGATTTGAAGTTAAATACTATAAAAATAACTTTAAAAAAAGCTGGCAAGGAACTGGGGAAAAATCTGATTATGGATCTAAGACTTCCAGGCAGACAACAGACAGACTGATGGACATGGGGAATCTAAACCGGGGAAGGGGGGGGGAGATTTAGAATCCAAAGGCTGGGTAACTATTTTCTGGAATTTTTTTTATATACTTTTTATCTTTTATATCTTTATATAGTTTTTTATACTTTGTTGGGGAGTCTTTATTTAAAAAAAAGGGAATTCGTGGAAGGAAAATGGGGTGGACTTTGGGGGAGAATCTTTGATTTTTATTTAAGGTAACGATGATGACTGTATAAATTCAAATTTGAATATTGGGTTAAACAAATTAAGTTTTAAATTGGGAGTGAGAGCTTGTAGAACCAACGTTATGAAAGGGGAATATGGTAGGGATGGGGGAGAGGGGAGTCCCAGAAAGTGGGTAATGACAGTAAGGTTTCAAATGTATTTTATTTTTGTTTTACTTTTACTTTCTGTATTTTGGAAATTTCAATAAATATGATTTTAAAAAAAAAGAGAACAGCACTGCAAAATTCAGAG